TTTGGACATGCCTGGTCTAAAATGCCATTTGTTTTGGTAAAATACAGAAAAGCTGCTTAAAAATCACCAAAACACAAAGAAAATGTGACTATACTGACTCAGTTTTCCATAATTACGCACTTGTTTCACAATTTTATTATTACCAACCACTACAAACCAGCGATGTCCTAGTTTTTTTATTTTAAAAATCTGGTCAGACTATTGTATTATGAACATTTTATTTCCACATCACCATAAACCTTCAACAAAACAAAACCATGCTCCAGTTTCAGTGTAAAATCCCTGTCATTTTTCTCTGCACTGAACGGACTTTCTTCACTGTGGAGCATTTCGGTGTAAACAGGAATCAACAGAAAAGATGACAGGTTTTTGTAAAAGTGAAAGTGAAATTCTTGGGCGTAATTTCTGGTTTGAGCTGAAAAATAATGATGGAGTAGACCAGAACAGAAGAGATGCTCTTTTACACCAATTAAATTTATTCAATAGTGCCCCAGACTGCCAGTAGAAGACAATCTTCTACTGGCAGTCCAAAGATGATTCTTGTTGGAGATCTGATTCAGACAAGACAATCTTCCACAAGAAACTACAGCATTTCACATAATGACATGTCCAAACTTTCTAACCACTGTTTGAACTGGCCTGCAGATGAAGAGTAAATCTCCTGATTTCATGAAACAAAGACAGTTGTGACATTTTCAGTGACTTTTGGTTCTGTGTGATTGACAATTTTTTCTTAGAGTAAATCAACTTGGACTCTGAGTGTATAAATGTACAGCTGTACACACTGAATGAATATTTGGCATGTCTTAAGATGGGGGTAAGTCAACTTCTAGGTCAATTTGTGTGAAAATAAAAAAGAAAAAGTGAAAAAATTAAATTGCGATATCTCAAAAACCATTGTGGAATTGTGTCGATCTGTTGCCTGGTGTCTATGTCATGTCCTTCTGTCTCAGGTCCACTGTCATCTAAATCCTTCTCTAAACTAGTATCAAGTTCATTTCCTGACCCTAAAACAGAACAAAATAAAATGGTGCTGAATGTTTAACAGTAAGCCATGGTAAATGAACAGTTTCACTGTAAAACCTCCAAATCTTATCAAGAATACTACTCTTATTTCTAGTCAAAATGTCTTATTTCTAGTCAAAACAAATCTCTTTACACTCCATTATACCTTGTTGCAGAAATGTGATTGAAAGTTTAAGACGAAGAAGAGACCTCCGACAGTAGGAAAGAAGCCAAACTAGTTTGTTACTGGGAACAGATCCCAGACGAGCCTCCACTTGTTACGGCCCCAACACAAAGGAGCACAACAAAAGAAAGAGGGACACGACGACAGCGGCGTTTTTAGGTGTTTGGAGAGAGAGAGGCCTGCAATATTAGGTAAGGCCAAATATTTTGTGGCCAAAGCTCTACAGACACTTTTTGTTCTTTAGTTGCACCATATTTGATGTACTGTGCTGAGATCTGGGCTAATAATTCTAAAACAATATTGGAAGCACTTTTCAAAAGAGCACGAGGAACAATTCATAAGGTTTGGTTTTCTGAGCACACCAAGCAGCTTTTTATCACTTCAAACATGTTCAAACTTAAGGATAAACTCATCAACTTCCAGAGCACCAAAATAATGTACAAGGCAAAAAGGAAAGAATGACCAAAACATATTCAGAAACATTTGATTGAAAGAGAAAGTTCTTGTCATTTAAGGGGAATGTGTCTCTTTAAAATGTTCAGAGTTCAAACAACAAGGAAAAGTTTTTGTGTTTCAGTTTGTGGCTCAAAATCTGGAATTCTGAGTGATGAGCTCAAAAAATGCCCAAATCTGAAAATGTTGAAAGGAAGATATAAAGAAATGATTCTAGCTAAGTGTGCAGAAGAAGGAAGTATTGAATTATTGATGTATATTTTTATCTGGAGATTATATTTGTGATGAGTGATGTCAAATAATTGTCTTTATGGATTGCTGTTATTATGTGTTTCTCTGTTTGCTCCATTTTGGTCCATTCTCAGACTGACTGTGAGCGCCCTCTGGTGGACACAACACAGAACACAGCCTTGACATAAACATTTGGAAGTAGAAAGAGAGAGAGAAGGATTTTCTCAAATATTTCATGACACTTTATAAAGTTGTGGTTCCGAACACATATAACACCCACACACATCTCTCACTCGAGACATGGCAAAGGAGAAATTGGCTTTTAGATGGAGATGTACAGCAGACTGAGGTCCTTTTAGGTGGAGATGAATGTGTTGCTCTCTCATCTGTGTTGGTTCATCCTCTTGTGAAGTGTCTGTTTTCGTTTCTCCAGTGTAGTTTTGTCCTTTGACTGGACCAGTTTCTGTCTCAAAGTGTTTGTAGGTTTGACATAGTCTGGGATCTCATGGTGTCTGAAAATCCTCTGTAGTTTTTCAGAAACACCAGCCATGTAAGGAATAGTTACGACCTTTCTTCTGGGTTCTGATTCTGCCGCTTCAACAGAAACTTCACATAATAACAGCAATCCATAAAGACAATTATTTGACATCACTCATCACAAATATAATCTCCAGATAAAAATATACATCAATAATTCATGAAAGCAATAATGTGCTTCTGCCAGACTCTTCTAATCGTACGTCACATGACTCCAGATACAAAATAAATATGTTCTAGTTTACATTCAGATGACAAATTCACTTCAGTTCCTTCTTCTGCACACTTAGCTAGAATCATTTCTTTATATCTTCCTTTCAACATTTTCAGATTTGGGCATTTTTTGAGCTCATCACTCAGAATTCCAGATTTTGAGCCACAAACTGAAACACAAAAACTTTTCCTTGTTGTTTGAACTCTGAACATTTTAAAGAGACACATTCCCCTTAAATGACAAGAACTTTCTCTTTCAATCAAATGTTTGTGAATATGTTTTGGTCATTCTTTCCTTTTTGCCTTGTACATTATTTTGGCGCTCTGGAAGTTGATGAGTTTATCCTTAAGTTTGAACATGTTTGAAGTGATAAATGCTGCTTGTTGTGCTCATAAAACCAAACCTTATGAATTATTCCTCGTGCTCTTTTCTGTCATATGAAAAGTGCTTCCAATATTGTTTTAGAATTATTAGCCCAGATCTCAGCACAGTACATCAAATATGGTGCAACTAAAGAACAAAAAGTGTCTGTAGAGCTTTGGCCACAAAATATTTGACTTTACCTCATACTGCCATGTTTTGGGATATTTGACTCTGTATATATTGTACGTGTTCTTTCCAATGACGTTTTTCATCAATAATAACACCTCGCCCTATAAAGCCTCACACATGAAATAATAGACACAACATTCTGATTCTTTCATATTTAACTCTTTATTGGACCTTTAAACAAAATGTAAAAAAAAATATTGATAACCTTGACCATTTTATAAACACCTAGAACACAGAACCTCGAGCTCCAGGTGAATGACACAGATCATATTGAGTACAAAGCCCAAACTAACATGAATAAAACTGATCCAGATAATAACATTCCTCAGAGTTCAAAGAATCATTGTTTCTATTTGACAGAGAACACATTTAATAAAGAAAAATATTCTGGACCAAAAAATATCTTGAGTTCATTTTAACAGCAGGAGTTTGTAGTCCAATTTCAAATGCATTAAAGATGATCTGAATCAATTCAAATCACCTTTAACATAATTCAGTCTCAGAGACGTGGATAAATGGGGATAAAGGGACAGAGTTGAATTTGAAGGGTTATGAAATGTTTTGTACAAATAGAGAACGTAAGAGAGGAGGAGGTGTGGCTTTATATATTGATAAAAACATCAGGTGTCGTATGTACAAAGTTTGTCTCTGGCAGTGGATGACATTTTTGAATGTAGAAATGTAGAAATGACAGTGCAAAAAAAAAAAAAAAAAAAAAAAACAGAATTGTAAGCTGTGTCTACAGGACACCAGGATCGGACATGGAGTTATTTAGCCAACGGATGGAAAAATACAATGTCAATCAATACAATGTTTGCCATGGGCTTGTATCCATCAATTGCAAGAGCAACTAGAAGAACAACACACAGTGCCACCTTCATAGATCATATATTCTGTAATATTTTGGGCAGTAACATCATTGGTGGAAAATGACATCAGCGATCATTTACCAGTCTTCATGGTGTATGACGTCAACTGTAAAATAACCAAAGACGTTCATAGAGTCTGTTAGCGGAGGGTTAAAACAGAACAATCAATAATGACTCTGAAGCAAGATTTAGCAAGTAAGTGGGAATCTGTTGATGAAGAGTGTGATGTAAACACAGCTTACAACTCCTTTCTACACAGATTTCTTTCCCTTTATGATAAGAATTGTCCTATTAGAAAGCGTAGGGTAAAGGAGGACACAAAAACTCCATGGAGAACAAAAGGGAGATTAAATGCAAGCAAAAAGAAGAATGACTAATACAAGCAGTTTGTTAAGTACAGAGGAAAGAGGCAGAGGTAAAGTATAAAACATGTGACCGAGGCTTAACTTACAGGTTCAGTGCAGGAAACGAAGCAGTGATGATCAAAAAGAGACACAGACAGATATACATTTTATCAATAAATGATTTATTAACCACCAGTTTAAGAAAATATATCATTTATTGTCATATGGTGTTCATGGTATCATGGTCTTGACTAATGTTGACAGTTGAACAGACTATTGTGGAGATGATGACTCAGACAGTGAAATGATGCTGACATGTTTTGGAGAGAACAACCATCAGACTGAGAATCATCTCATCAGTTTAGATCAGCAAGATTTATTTATTTGGAAAATGATCTAAACGTGGTTCATTGTGTAAACAGTAGACGGTACAGAACCAAGTGCAAAATGCACTGAGACACTTGAGACATGCACTAAGACATTTACAGTTTGATGAAATCAATGAGAAATGTGATTCTGTTGTGAATGACTGTAAGATGTTTGGAAATTTGTCCATGTTGTTTTGAGAATGTCATTTCTGTTTCAAGAAATGAACCAAACCAACGGAGAAAAACTGTAACATCACTTTATTTGTTCAACAATGTAAAAATAGATGAAAATTGTTGGACTGTTTTACACCGAGGAGAGTAAGTCTTTCGAAGCACACAGAGACACTGAGGAGCCAACCCACCAGAGCCCAAACCCAGGGAACAGAGTGCGAGTGAATGTGGTGTAGAAGGTGTGGAGGTGGGTCAGTTGGTCAGAGGAGACTGTGTAGAAGGACAGAGAGCCAGCAGGACAGTCCACAAACACTGCTACTCTCCCAGAAGAGGAGCAGGGCTGAGGGAGGAGGGTTTGATTATTATTATGAAGAACATAGAAACCATCTTCAGAGCACCACAGACTCCAGGACTGATCATTGTGTCCAAACAAACTGTCATAACCGTGTCCTTTCCTTCTGATTCTTCTGTCAGACACTGATATAGAAACATGTCCACTCCACTGGACCTCCCAGTAACAGCGACCAGTCAGACCAGTGGAACACAGAATCTGAGCCCAGACGTCAAATCTTTCCTGATGATCTGGATACGGTTGCACCTCTGTCACACATGTCACCTTCTTGTTGGTGTCAGACAGTTTAAGGATTCTGTGAGCTGTGTTTGGATCCAGAGTGAGATCACAGAAATCTGATGGAGAGAAAACACAACACAGCAGCAGTTAGTCCCCTGTCCACTCTCAACATTCCACTCTTCTGTTTGTCTCACATTTATGTGAGTGTAAAAACATTTCCTTTTTGAATTTATTCTCAGTGTAAATCTGGACTTCTCTGGAGTTTGTTGCTGCAGTGACAAAGTGCAGTTCCACTCTCTGACATCACTCCATACATTCCTACACTAAGTGTCCAGATGATGACCCCTGAAACTCTACATCTCTACATCACAACAGTGTTTGAACTCGCTCAAAAAGGAAATGCTGTGACCCTCAAAAATGACTCGGTTGTGTAACAGAATGCTGACAGACGCTTTGTTTGTGTGACACAAATAAAATCATAAAACTGACCAGAGTTAAATGGGTTAAATCAGACTTACATCTCCGGATTGGATTCATCCATCGTTCTCCAGCAGGTGTCAGTCTGAAGGAAACACACCACATCAGAGTTTGTCTCAGAGAATTTTCACTTCATGTGACATTCAAATGTCTTCTTTTGACCCTAACACTCCTCTCAGTCTGTGGTGCACAGGCCTCTGGTGCTTCTGAAGTCTGTTTTTATTCATGACACTGTCATTTATGATTGTGAGTGTTAAGCAGGCGAGCATGTCCATACCTGAGAGTGTCCAGTGTGCAGTGGGGGTCCTCCTGTAGAGCACACAGGAGCTTTACTCCTGTGTCTCCTGGATGGTTGTAGCTGAGGTCCAGTTCTATCAGATGGGAGGGGTTGGACCTCAGAGCTGAGGCCAGAGAAGCACAGCCTTCCTCTGAGAGCAGACAACCTGACAGTCTGAGGACACAGATTATCAGAATCAGTCCATTCATTTGTAACATTCAACCCAAATGAGACAAAGAACAAGTCCCAGATCTTTATGGGACTTTATCAATTGTGATTTTCCAACACAAATACCAACAGGTTATGTAATAATAGTGAAGAATATGAACCCCTCAGACCTGAGCTGTTCCAGTTTACAGTGAGGACTCTTCAGTCCAACACACAACATCTTCAGCCCCGAGTCCTTTAAGTCGTTGAGACTGAGGTCCAGGACTGTCAGACTAGAGGACTGGGAGCTGAGGACTGAGGACAGAGCTTCACAGCTTCTCTCTGACAGGTTACAGCTGCTCAGTCTGGAGACAGAAAATATTGTTTATGTAAAAGTTGAATCAAACCATCCTCTGTTAAACAAAAGGAGACTCACAGAGCTTTGGTGGAGGCCTTGACCACTGGCAGCAGCCTCAGGAGACCCTCCTCTGAAGCAGAATATTTCTTCAGCTCAAACTGGTCCAGATCTTCTTCTGATGACAGTAAGATGAAGGCCAGAGCTGACCACTGAGCAGGAGACAGTTCACCTTCAGACAGACATCCTGATCTCAGGTACCGTTGGATCTGCTCCACCAGAGAACGATCATTCAGTTCATTCAGACAGTGGAGCAGGTTGATGCTCCTCTCTGCAGACACATCTTCACTCAGCTTCATCTTGATGTAGTCAGCTGTTTCCTGATTGGTCTGGGAGCTACTTCCTGTCTGTGTCAGCAGACCTTGTAGAAGGCTCTGATTGGTCGACAGTGAAAGACCCAGGAGGAAGCAGAGGAGCAGGTCCAGGTGTCCGTTTGGACTCTGTAAGGCCTGGTCCACAGCTGTCTGATGAAGATGCTTTAGTTTTTTTTTCACACTGAACTTTGTAGACTTCTGTGTTTTCTCTGAGAGCAGGTTGATCCCAGTGTTGATGAAGGTCTGATGGACATGAAAAGCAGCCAGAAACTCCTGCACACTCAGATGGATGAAGCAGTAGACCTTGTCCTGGTACAGGCCTGGCTCCTCTCTAAAGACCTGTGTGAACACTCCGGAGTACACTGAGGCCGCTGCAGCGTCCAGCCCACACTCGCTCAGGTCACTCTCGTAGAAGATCAGGTTTCCTTTCTGCAGCTGCTCAAAGGCCAGTTTTCCCAGAGACTCCACCATCTTCCTGGTCTCTGGACTCCAGTGTGGGTCTGTCTCAGATCCTTCTTCATACTTGATGTTCTTGACTTTAGCCTGAACCACCAGGAAGTGGATGTACATCTGAGTCAGGGTCTTGGGCAGCTCTCCTCTGCTTTTCAACACATGCTCCAGGACTGCGGCAGCGATCCAGCAGAAGATCGGCAGGTGGCACATGATGTGGAGGCTTCTGGACGTCTTGATGTTGGAGATGATTGTGTCGGCCTCGTCTCTGAACCTCTTCCTGAAGTACTGCTCCTTCTGCGGGTCGGTGAACCCTCTGATCTCTGTCACCATGGAGATGCACTCAGCAGGGATCTGATTGGCCGCCGCGGGTCGTGTGGTTATCCAGAGGCGAGCGGAGGGAAGCAGGCTCCCCCTGATGAGATTCACCAGCAGCACGTGCACTGAGGCGGACTCTGTGGGGTCGCTCAGGGCCTCGGTTTTGGTGAAGTCCAGAGGAAGTCTGCACTCGTCCAGACCGTCAAAGATGAAGAGCACCTGGAGGTCTTCAAAGCTGCAGAGTTCTGCTTGTGTTTGACTAAAGAAGTGACCAACAAGTGTCACCAAGCTGAAGCTTCTCTCCTTCAGCACATTGAGTGCTCTGAAAGTGAACGGGAACAGCAGCTGTATGTCCTGGTTGGCTTCACCTTGAGCCCAGTCCAGACTGAACTTCTGAGTGAGCACTGTTTTCCCGATGCCAGCCACTCCCTTTGTCAGCACTGTTCTGATGACTCCATGTGTGTGAGCTGGGCCTTTAAACATGTCTTCACATGTGATGGGTGTCTCTGCTGGGCCTGGTGTCCTGGAGGCTGTTTCCATGTGTCTGACCTCATGTTCCTGGTTGACCTCTGAAGACCCTCCCTCTGTGATGTAGAGCTCTGTGTAGTTCTCATTCAGAAGGCTGGAGTTTCCTGCTTTAGCGATGCCCTCAAACACACACTCAAACTTCTGCTGCAGGTCAGACTTCAGTTTACGCCAACAAACTCCAGAAGAAGTCCCTGAATGACGACAACAGATACAGACCTGAGTCTCAGAGAAGATAAAATGACTGTGAGCACCTTGTTAAATGTGTTAAATGGTCCTACTGCTCCTCAGACGCTCAGCCAGCTCCTTCTGATTCATCCTCCTCAGGAAGTTCAGTGTGATCTTCAGAACAGCCTCACTGCAGCTCCTCTGCTCTCTTCATCCTCATCCTCCACAGGATCTAAACCTTCTGGATCATCTGTACTCAGAACCTTGTGGAGCTTCTTCAGCTCCTTCTGGACAAAAGTGAAGATGTCCTCCTCCAGAAGCTGAACAGACACATTATAAACAACACAAATGCAGTCAGTGTCAGATCTGTGTGAAACAAGCTTCATTCATCTGAACATTTCCAAACTTTAGTGAATAACAGACCTTAAATATGGAGTCCAGCTGTGTGTGATGGTGCTGACCACTGGAGACCTCTGGACCCGGCTGCTCCCCTCTGTCACAGAGACACATGAAACATGCATCATTATTATTTATTATTATGATCAATGCTTTTGAAAACTCACAGCTCCTTGGCAAAATCAAGTGGCTGTCCCTTAGACCTGTCACTCCTGAGGGACTCACAGCTGGGACCAGGTTCAGACGGAGGATGTTTCTGGTGAATCCTGAGACACAGAAGAAAACACACTTCAGTCACAGTAAAACACATGGGACTGTTGTGACTCAGGTCAGATACTTCAGAAGGTTCTACAAAGTGTTGATGAGGCCTTCACCACAGACGCTTCAGTACGGCACATTCAACAACAAACACATCCAGTTTAGATATTTTTAAAGTTTGAATTATGGAACAAAGAACAGACTTGTGTGTATCATTCTGATTTGAATGTGATTGTGTGTGAACTGTGGACCACTCCTGGACATGTTTTTATTTCAGTAAAAGCACGTCACCCACATTATATCCAAATGTTTGTTGACATAAAGTGGTGATGTTATAAGGTGTTGTGAGTGTGACTTACTGTGGACCATGTTCTCTTTTCAAATCAATCCCTCCATCATTAGAGCGATCACTGTTGAATGAGTGGGTGCTGGTCCCAGGAGCAGATCTGTGGACACAGATGGAGCAGTGGTTTTAGTCTGAGCTCTGACATGGAGAACAGTGGTGGAGTGTTAGTCTCTTACCTCTGAGCTTTGGGGGAGTGAGTGGTTGTAGAGGCAGGGGCTCCGTCCTCTCTGTGCTCTCTCTGATCCATGCTCTGTTCATTTGCTTCAAAAGGAAAAACACACAAAACTGAACACACACATTATTATGTCAAATAATAAGAGAGCTGTTGACCTCGACTGGGGATGTTGTCGGACAGTCAAAAGAAAAGTTTGAGGATCTCCTCAGTCCCACCATCAAATCTTCCAAGGAGGAAGCCGAGGCTGGAGACTCGGAGGTGGACTCGTCCACACGCACGCTGCGTGGTGACGTAGTGAAAACAGGTGTCCAATAGGAACTTCGCTCTTCGGCGCGTGACGCACTCCAACCATTTTCATTGGCCCAAACTTTGCCAAAGATTGTTGTAAGTGAAGATAGTTTACTCATCTGAGCTACTGAGCTCATAGCATTTGATAAAGCAGACCTAAGTACCATTATTTCTCAAGTAAATGGCAGATTACGCATCTCGGTGTGCGTAATTGCGCATCCCTTACTATTTTTATTTGAAAAGTTTTTTTTTACTTGCAAATGATACATAATACACCCAACAGGACGTAAACAGCCTAGTGCCGAGCAATGAATCGGGTGCGCGCGGGTGTGAGCAGGTGCGCGCAGATGCGCGCTCGGCGTACACACACTCGTGTGCCAAGGCATTTGTTGTTTTGCGCACAGAGGATAAAGAGCTCCGGGAAGTCTATCAGAAGAAAGAAAGAAAGAAAGAAAGAACGAACGAAACAGAAATGGCACGAACAGAAATGGCACGCAAAGCGTCACTTTCCTTGCTGGAAGCAGTGGCGATGGTAACGGAGCCTGGCAGTGACGCCGAGTCCGATGTGGACACTTTTTATACAGATGAAGAGTTGGATTACCTGGAGGATCTGGACCCTATTGAAGAGTAAGTAGCAAATATTTCATAGTTATTTAGAGCAAACATCATGCAACACTTGTAGTAAACGGGCGTAAATACATAATAGTAGCATGCGTAATGCCTATTTACGCATTGTTTGGATACAGTTTTATTTGATGCGTGAGGGGTATAATCATTTAGGTGGGGGATGAGATTGTGAACTTCAGACAACTGTTTACCTGTGTTGCACTAGACTTATGACATGTATGTTGTTGTTTGTAATAACGAGCTACAAACTACATGTGTAAAGTGGATGAAGTGGTTTGGGAGGTGTGGATGTCCTAATTAGTGAGGTCATAATCTGTTGACACCATTTGGGTGGGGGATGGGGTTGTGCATTGTGTTTGCCCCTGCTGCACTAGACTTAGACTTGTTGTAGTCCATATGTAATACACAAGTTTTACACAAACTAACATTTTTTCCTTTTCTGTTGTTTAGTGCTGAGTCAGAGGATGTTCCTCAGGCTCCTCCAGATTCCCCTGTGCCATTCACTTCAGGTGTCTCCCCAGCTTCATCAGTGTCTATAACCCCAGCCACCCGTCCAGAACCATCAACACCTTCAACACCTACGATCTCCTCTGAGAGCAGGAGGAGGGGCAGGGATGGAGGACATGGAAGATCCAGATCTCCACTCCTCAGTACTTCATCTCCATCACCACACTTACTAACCACCACACCAGGAAGACCGCAGCAGGCAAGGATCATATGGGAGGCTGTCATGTGTGCACTGCTGACAAACACAGGGTGAAGAGGCAGTGTACTGCATGGAAATGCAAGGCCTGTGATGTGGCACTATGCCTGGTGCCTGATAGGAACTGCTTCCATGATTGGCACTAGTGAAGGACTTGGACGAGTGCACTTTTTTTTTTTTTGAGGGCAAAAATGACATTTTTAGAATACCTACAAACTTCATATTTTGCACTTTTGTAGCTAAGACCCTAAACTAAGTATTTATTATGTTTAAAAAGTTGTTTATACATGTTTGCTGTGTGTTTTGAATAAAGGAGTGTGAATATTATTTTCCGTTTTTTTTTTTCCTTTGTATTTCTAGTGCTATAGCTTTTATTACAGCCATATGACACAACTACAGCATTCAGATTGAACAGGTTGTACTGAAAAAAAGGATGTATAGCACTTCATTAGGGGATAAAAGGGAGAGTTTTAATAGCAAAATTAGGAAAAAAATCCAGGCGAGGACAAATGTACCAAAAATCTGCAGCGTTGCGTGGCGGTCGGGGACTATGACCTTATTCACAAAATGCGTTATCACTTCTAATGATTTCTGATATACCCAAGGTGGGAATAATGTGGTTACATAGGGTTTTTGCCACCGTGATTGCATCAGGCTTAGCTGTGGGAAATATTTCAACCCATTTTGAAAAAACATCTATTATTCATAAATAGTAATAAAATCCATATATCTGGTCTGAAAGGGGGTAGGTTGGTTGAGGAAACCGGCCTCTCTTAGGCTACGTTCAGACTGCAGGGCTTAATGCTCAATTCCGATTTTTTTGTGAAATCCGATGTTTTTGCGAGGTCGTTCACATTTCCAATTAAATGCGACTTGTCTGTGACTTCAGTGTGAACGGTAAACAGCCCGAAAGTGTCCCGCATGCGCACTGGAGGACACGATGACGTCATGCGTCAACCGCAGCGAGCGTGCTCTGTGTTTATGGAAGTTGTCCAAATATGGTCGCGAGCATTGAGCACCTGGCGATTTTACAGTTCCGGTTTCCGCCTGCTTCAGCGCAGAATAGTGATGTTTGTCGCTTGTTAATGACGTGTAGGTCGGATGGATGAGCTTTGGCCGTTCAGACTGAAGTCGCATGTGAAAAGATCAGATATGTATCAGATTCAGGAGCACATATCCAAGTGGCCTGGGTCGCATTTGAAAAATTCGGATCTGTGTCGTTCAGACTGTCATTAAAAGATCGGATACAGGTCACATAGAAGCCAAAAAATCGGATTTGGGTCACTTCAGGCTGCAGTCTGAACGCAGCCTTAGTCTTAGTCTGCAAAAACATTTTTGAGTAGATGTGAGGGTTTCTTTCTGCCCCTCCTACCCCTCCTTTCCCTGCTCCCTCTTCCCTTCTCTCACCTTATTTGTTTTTTCCTGGGCAGGTCCCCAAATCATCTCACCTGCTGAGCTCCTCTCCTGATCCTCGTCAAGTAATCATCTCCTGCAATAAAAGACCTGCTGACCTGCTCTCCAGTGCCAGATCATTCCGTCAACCAAGTGGTGAACAACTCAGGCTTTTGTGTTTTTGAGCATTTTTGAAGATTTTGACTCTTACCTGTTTTCTTTCATCCGTTCGTCAGTTCTTCCGTATTGGAGCCAGCCACATCCCGTTACCACCAGTCTCTGTAAGCCTCCAGTCAGCCTCCATCTCCACAGACCTCCCATCTGCAGCCAACCCGGACCCGTCCTGCCTCCCCTGGAATCTATCCCCCGCCAAGACTATTTTTGCAACTAAAATACTTTTTTTTCCTCTGCATATTTGGGTCCGACCAGTGATTCTTTAACAGTAGGTATTGAATCCTATTGTATCAAAGTATTGATTTACTAGTGCCACCATCCCTCCTGTTGAGACATGATATACTTCATGGCTCATGCTCATTTAAACATCGATTGGTAAAAATGTTTTTTTCATTTGATCCCCCATATATCTTTGATCTGATTTCTGCACCGTTTCTCAACCAAGTCGCCCTTTCAGATGTATTCACTTGCTCTTGTACTATTTGCAAAATACCTTTAGTATCAGTTACTGTTTCTTGTGTGTATATTCCACATGCTTTTTCTTTCGCTTTTATATCTGCAGATCTATTACCATTTGATATCGAATCTGTTCCTTTTGTATGCACTTCACATTTTAATTATTGTTAGTTTCTTTGGTAGTTGACTAACATTTAATAGATTTTGAAGAAGTTGTTTGTGAACAGTTCTTTACCTGTGGTGGTTTTGAACCCCCTCAGCTGCCACTGGCGACAAAAGACATATACTGCTATATTGTCTGTTTGTGTAAATTGTGGCAGGTCTGTCTCTGTACAGTTTACACACTTCAGTCAAGGCTATTAGTTCTGCTGCCTGTGCAGACAAATTTGAAGGTAATTTTTCTCCGTCTATGTAAATTTGGAGTAAGGTGGCTGGGTTCAGTGCAGTACATCTCTCTATAGTTAAATGCGGTTGTGACAATAATATTGTCATACACGTTAGGTGTCTGGCTGGCGATACAAATGCCATTTTGGTCTGCAGGAGGAGTGCTGCCACTGCATGTGAAACTTTTAGCTGGTGAAACAGCACTACCTCTGCAGAGGCTGTGATTGCAAAAGCTGCTACTACTACTTCCTGCACACGATGAGTTATTACTAAATTCAAAGCAATAATATTCATTAAATTCAAAGTAACTGAATAAAATAACTGTTGCTTTAAGACTACTCAGAGCTTCTCTTTTACCCATTAATTACATAGTTTGAAATTCTTCAACAATATTGTTTATTTAAAACATAGTATATAGAAGCTACAAGCAATTTGAATCAGTACTAAATTATTACTACCAGGTTAGAATTAAGGAAAACAAGCCAGTACAAACTAGGTTAAAGTTACTCTATCACTTGAATACAATTGAATAGAACATTTTCAAACAAATCAAAATACAGTGCCTTTAACATTTTAGCAATAGTTTAGTGTTTTATCTAAAATCAGAAGGGACCAAAGTAACGGCGATTAAACGTAACCCAATACACTTTTATTTTAGCAGACTTTTATTTTGGCGACTGTATTTTGGCTGTCTACTTCCTGTTCTGCTGCCGCACTTTCCCCTTCCATTAGGCACTGTTGGGCAAGTTACTTTGAAACTGTAATGCGTTATTTATTACCTATTACTGTCATTTCAAAGTAATTCGTTACATTACAATATTACTGCATTTAAAATGTAAGGCATTACATTACTATTGCATTACTTTAAGTTACACTCACCAAAATAACTTTTGCACTGTATATGGACTGAACCAGGACTAAACCAGGTCTAAACCAGGACTAAACCAGAGCTGAACCAGGACTAAACCAGAGCTGAACCAGGACTAAACCAGAAGTGAACTAGGACTAAAACAGGACTCACTGTAGGGAAGGGCTCGAAGGTGACCGCAGGAGAAAGGAGCGGCTCTGCTCCACACCTCACGGAGGTAAGAGCGGCTGTCACCCGATCGCTCTTTATGGACCCTGCTGCTTGGGCTCACGGTCCTGATTTCAGCAACTATTTGCAGGTACCCGAGCCGGTGCAAGAGTCTGTTACAGCGCGTAACTTCTACCTTCCTTCAGCGTGTCCAGAAGTCCAACTTTTTG